CTTTCTTGATATGTTGAATAGAATTTTAACAATCAACGATTTTGAAGCGCTATAATTAATAAACCTTTCCTATGTCATGAATACAGAAAAAAACATATTCAAATGACTTCGCAATATCGATCGGTTTAAAAAGGAAAAAAAGATCGTAAAAACGTTAAATGAATTTGATTCTAAAGCTTCAGCACTAATGATCAAGGATCTTTTAATTATACTACTAAAACATCCACCAATGTAATTTCAATTATTTATTTCCATTATTTTAACTTATCTATTAACTATATTTAATAAATTTTTTTAACCCAGATAAGGTTTTATTACCAAAAATCATATGATTCCGAATTTGAACTTTTTACAAAGAAAGCTCGATTTCATTCTCAAAACCAATAAATACCTTAAAATTAACAAACGTATGCATCAGAATCAATAAAGATCTATGTATCAGAATCAACAAATGACTACATCTCAGTAGAAAATAATTGTCATAATCAAGTAATTTAGCACTGTAAAGAAAAGATGAAGTATCGGTGCCCATTGCAAATAAAAAAGACTGTAAAGTATAATAGCAAATTACAAATAATATTATTATTCAATTTCCTGATGCCAGCAAACCGATCGATCTCAATTAAAATTTTCTTACAATAATCAGTTCAAAAATGTATTGTTTTATTTTTCAAATAAAATATATAATGCCTAGCCAATTACTATTTGCGTTTTTACTCAAGCTAATTACAATTTAAAATTTTACATTATTAACAATTTAAAATGTATACTAATTGTAATTTAAAAAGTGTACACTAATTACAATTTAAAAAGTGCACGGGTCTATACAGTATGAAAAACCTTGTGAATTTAAAAATCACATGATTTTCATATGGACCCGTGCGAATAAACGTTCAAAAAAAGCACGGGTTGTTACATAAGACCCGTACATACGATAAAAATATTTTATGTGACCAATCATATATAACTATACCAAATTATAATTCTGATCCTTTTTTTATGTTGAAAAATATTTTACTAAATTCACATTTACTTTATATAATTCACATTTACTATATATAATAAGTTTTTAATGTCATCAAAAACATATATTTAATTTAAAAAGATGTATTGAATATGATTCTCTGTATTTATAATTACAAGTTTAAATTTCAATCAGTTTTTCAAGACTTGAAATACCTCAAATTCATCAATTAAAAGATTCGTATTATTATCTCTAAGCTGTTTTTCATAATAGTTAGAAAAATGATAATAATGCCATATCTTATTTTTCTTCATAAAGAAACTTCCACCGAAAACGGGACCATAATAAGAAAAATGTCCAATAACTTGACTCACATGGATAATTCTACTAAGGATAGAATTAGGTAAATTTGAAGTTTTCAATGAAAAAATAAAACTATCAACTGTCACTAAGTACTTATATGGATCACTAGATAACCAGATTAACGGATTATATCCACCAAGTATTTCATTCGTGCCATTAACTTTAATAACAACCACGGTACCGGGTATGTTATCGCATAATCTATGAAATGCTGCACAAGTAAATCCATCTCTGCTTCCTTTAAGAAGTAAATTAAATTTATAAGGTATTCTTGTAACCTCATATATTGACGGATGACGATCAATCCAAGACGAAATCTCTGCAAAATGTTCATCATTGACAATAGATGATGGATTAATAAAATGAACACCACGTACAGGAAGTTGAACAGGAATTTTTTTACGAGCAGGTAAAATAGTTGAAGAAATAGATGCATTAGGATCCATAATCTTTGTCGTAATATCATCCCATAAGTCTGATCCGAGGGTTTTGCGATAAGGTTTAACTTTTGCTACAATTTCTTCTCCAGACATTTGAAAATATCGAATTAAAGGAATACATTTGTCAAGTGTAGCTTTTAAAGCTAAAAAATTCTTTTTAGTCCATTGTTTGAAATCAGAAGGTAAGTCTGGTGTGTGTGCTTCTCCCCATTGAATAACCTTATCCCAAATTTCAGATTCTTCAACTTGTAAATCATCGCGTTTTAAAAGAGCTACCAACGCATCTTCATGAATAGAAGTAAATTCATCAGAATCAAAAACCAGGTTAGGATGCTTTGCGATGATATCAGTGCAAAATATTTGTAAGGTTTTAAAATTGTTATCTTGAAAACTGATAGAATAAATTTGGGTAAATTTTAATCGGAGCCAAGATGCCTTGTTATCGATAAGATAAGGCTGAATATATTCAACCAACTCAACTAGACCTAATTTGTTGGAAGATACTAAAAGATCAAGTATAGTGGATGGTTCAATATTTTCTAATGAAATTGTACCACTATAAATATATCTAATTTAAGAGATATTTAGTAAATTTACGGTAAAAATGATTTTAAATCATCAAATATGAAATTCACCAGCATCAAAAATAGTCAAAACCATTGATATTTAGAATATGATAACTAAATAAAAATTTCGGAACCTAATAAACCTAACTTCTAATACTGAAATAAGTAAGTATTAATTATAATTCTGAAGATTAAACCTATTTTTTAAAATTTTGAAATAACATCTTGCGATAATAACGTATATATGCTGGTGAATTTCCAATTATACTTAAACTTTATTATAAAATAAATCACCTACTTGATTAAAATTTTAAAAGCTTCAACAGAAATGTGAGTTAGAGTGATTTCAATAATATTATTCTTTTTAGTTGCAGTTGACAGTTCTTGACGAAAAAATAATGAACGCTGATACAAAACTAAAGAATGTAACTTAAAACTTTGTTCACCAACATTAATTATGACATTATAATCGTATTCAGTTTCAAGAAGTTGCGCAAAATCATTAGAGAAACGTTCGAGTAATTTAGTGCCTATTTGCGACATTTGAAAAGTTTAAATTGTAGTATTTGTAATGGCATTTTTACGGATATCAATTTATGCAGTGCAATGTGATTTATGGTAGGAGATGCAGTAAGAGTTTGGAACCGGTTTTATTTTTCAAATATTAAAACCGACTTGATCGGTTTTAACATATGAAAAATATGTTGCACGGTTTGCATACTATATTTGCGCACATGAGTGTTATTTCGAATAATGGCCCGAATTAAGCTTAATTGGGACACTTGAAGAATAGGTACCCCAGTAGTAACTTAGTGGTGGCGAATGGGAGAGCGCAATCACATGATTTTTGACCAATCACATTACAAGATCAGGTGTAACGTAAGATCAAAACAACGAATTATTAAAATTATGAAATCTTTCTTTAGGGTATGTATCGTTTAGCACTAAGGTGCTTAAAGACCGTATGATATGTAAAATTTTGTAAGAAATTTTTTTTATTAAGACACCAAAGACGGTTTCATAAGCAAAATTTTGAGTTATTAGCGGTTTTTGGAAAACGAACGTTTGTTTTGAATTTTCCTGTTTGTGCTACGTTACACCTGATCTTGAAATATTATTGGGCAAATATCACGTGATTGCGCTCTTATTCGCCACCACTAAGCTACTTATATCTCATGATCTAGCAATGATAATTATATAATTTTGATACCGGTACTATTAGATTTGTTTTGTCAAGACGAATTCAACAATACCAAATCACATAATTATAATTACTAGATCATGAGATATCACTATTTAATCAAAGTATTAATTTAGCTATATGTACGTACGAACAAGATCCTGTGATCTAATTGGTCGATCATATTAACCTGCGATAATTCAAAAAAAAATAAATACTTAGTTTTATTTAATTTTTGTTAATAGTCTGATTATTAAAATCAAAATTATTTTTTATCTATATCATAAGTATATAGATACTGGGTCTTGTAAGAATACAAGATTTTTAAAATACTGTATAATGTTATTAAAGAATCTTGTAAGATTCAAGATTTTATCTATAAAATAATAACAATAATGATTGGTTATAATTGAAAAAATACAACAAAACACGAAATTGGGTTGTCTATTTGAACCTATCAACTTATAGATATAATTATTAAGGTTTAAAAATTAAGGGTTATCATAGAAACTTTATGTGCACGACAATTAATGTAACGTTAAATAATGTTAGATAATAATCTATTAATTTATTTCTTTTTTTTTTTGATATTAGTTCCCAAAAATTGTAATACCAAACCCCATACAAAATTAAACAATAACAATAAAATAGCATATATAATACATCTGCCTAATGAAAAAAAAATAATTAATTATACTCTACTCAATAGAAAAAAAAGAAAGTTAATTCAATAAATATTCAGTCAGATTAATTAAGAGGAAAAAAGTAGATGGGACAACAAAAATTATATAGCTTAAAGGTAAATTTCCTATCTACTTTCTACCTCTGGATGTTCCCGCTTGAATCTGTTCCAATTCAGCTTCCAAAGCTTTAATATGAGAATGTTCTGCTTCTAAATCCTTATTAAGGCGATCACGCTCAGCAATAAGCTAAAAAAAACAAGGTGTTAGAACATTATAAAACATATTTTGGAGTAATTGTTGAATATTTACATGTTGTTCCCATTGTCGGAAGCGATTCTCTTCCTGCTTAACTTGTTCTGTGAACCTCTTTCGAAGAGCTTCTTCTTCTTCTTTGAATTTAGGATTATCAAGTTTCTTTGGCCTGTTTTACATTAAGTTGAACGTAATTAATTTCAGAATAATAGCAGTCATAATAAACTAGACAATTTTTCAACTTACTTAGGTTCACCAAACTTCCTGGTTTCCATTTGTGATTGACGATAGTTCTCGTAGTGTGTCTCCTCGGTAGTAGACACAAGATCTAACATGTGCGTTCTATAAATCAAAATAACATATAAGACCTTCATATACCATATATATTTAAAATGATGAGGAAATTTACCTAATAAGAAGAGCGCGAAGCTTTTTAAAATCACAATGATCTTCATTTTCGACTTCGGCAATGCCCCAACTGTATTGTCTTCCTTTTACCTTACGTCCATCAAGGGCAATAACGTCTTCGTCACTACCAATGATTGCAAATGGCATAGCAGCCTGAACACAATATAAAATGATGCGTAATTAGAATTCTATTTTATAAAAAAAAAAAAAAAAAAAAAGATAATTACCATAATGTCCATATTTCGTTTGGTGCTTGTTTCATCATCACTTTCAGTTGGACATTGGTAAACTTGAATATTTTGAGCGGCAATAACTTCTCTAACCTAAAATTATATAACAAAACAAGTTAATTAAATTAAAACTTACAATGCATAAAGGTTGAAACTAAATATTCAGAATATTACTCTTCTCTTAAATGTTTCTAAATCTTTGGGCGTCAGAGTATCTGCCTTAGCAATGACCGGAATTAAGTTTACACGGGAGCCCAAGCGCTTCATAATCTCAATATCCAAAGGTTTTAATCTGTAAAAGATAATACACATGTTATATAATGTCATAAAACGCGAAAATAGTAATTATAGAAATTTGAAAGTTTACGTGTGTCCAGTCGGACGAATGAAATAAAGGCAAGCATGAACACGCATGTCCAACTTCTCTTTACGAAGAGGCTGTTGTTCTTGACGCATATATGACTCATGTTGGTCATCGATAAATTCGACAATTGGTAACCAACTATCTCGATTGTTTACATAGTCACCGAATCCGGGAGTATCAATAACCGTAAGTTTTACATTAAACATTTTTTCTTCTAGCTCTACAAATAACAATTGATAAATAGATAGTAGAAATAGATAGGTTATCAAATTAATATCAAAAGGAATGTATGCAACAAATGTTTAATGTTATAATACCCACCAGCTTTTGTTATTTCAATTTCAACAGTCTTTTCGGTTTGCTTAGCATGCCGTTTGGCTTGATTTTTCTTTTCCTTGATGGTAGTCGTAAAAAGAGTATTGATAAAAGTCGTTTTTCCGAGACCAGATTCACCTAATAATAAACAGAACAAGTTTAGATATAACTTCGTTGTGAATTAAAGTATTCGCTTGACATCAACTCATCTAGACACGCATTCCTTAAAAATTTTGCGACGTTCTCGGAATGAGATCTTAAAGAACTACAATAAAGGTACTTACCAACAACCATTAAAGTAAAGTTAGTTCCTCTCTTTGCTACAATCTTGTGACGTTGGTTCGGCAAATTCGCGATGCCGATGCCATTAGTGGCTGTAACTGCACTTGGAGACATTATTAAGATAGAAATGGCTTGTCAAAGGAAGGAAGAATGGGTTAGTCAAGGAATAAATAATTCTGTTAAAAGTGACAAAAGTTCGGTTTGTCGGGAGAATCTTTTTTTTTTTTATTAAAAGATTTGTGTCGGGGTAAAGCAAAAAAGACTTATTTTCGAAAGAATGTTAAACAAATTTTCAAATATGCACCTAGTAGACCAATAAAACGGTTCGAATTGTTTATTTGTGTGTTATAGGCTATTAGATTGTTTGGCTATATAATTCGTAACACAGCATAACAAGTACGCGAATGTAGAAGACAAATTTAGCAACACAAAAAATCTTAAATTGGTTTGTTGAAATATAACGAAACAAAATCCTTAATATAGATATAGGATAATGGATCTCGGACTGGCCATGAAACGTCATTGTTGATATCAGTGTCTCAGCTTATAATATAGCATGTTTATGATCATGTCTCCAAAATTTTATTATATTTTGTTTCGTGTAAGCCTGCTAATCTCTTTTAGGAAAGCATGCAAACTTTTAGAAACATATATACACCTTTTTTTTAAGTATTTGTTATTAATTTCCTGATATTTCTTTAGATTTTACTTTAAAGAAATCATCGACTTCCTTTGCATATTTATCTACTAGCAATTGAAGCTTAAAAAAAAAAAATGTATAGTTCCATTGTGGTTAGCAGCTTTCATCCATTAACGTATAAAAAATAACGAGAATACCTGTTTTTCCAATAATTTTGCCTCATCATTCGGTAATCCATTTTTACTGTCTTTTTTCAAATCTTTTAATCCGTCTTGCCTCGCAAGGCGAAGCTTTGTTTTTGTATTTTCTGCAATTTTGGACGCGATTTTAATCATCTTTTCACGAAATTCAGTCGTGACTCTATGGAAGTGGTGAGAACAATCGGCACAACTCTGAGCAATTGTAAAAGAAAGTCGTAGAAGAGCAGCTCAAATAACTTACTTTGGAATAGGCACTTTAAAACCTTTTCCATCAATCATTGGGGTTAAATTAAGGTTTGCGCATCTTATAGCTTTATCAATATCTTTTAACATCTATAGATTGAGTTAGGCAAAAAATAACTTTTTTTAATATGTATTCTATCCATAACTAGTACTCGACAAAATCAAGCAAAAACTTGATAGTCAAATACCATACAACGCTGCATACAGTACCACTTGAAGAAGTATTCTCTTTGAATATTACTAGGGTACTATTCAATTGTAAATTCTAGCATTTTTGAAAAATACCCTGGTACTAATCAAGTAGTTGAATCAATGATCCTGTTATATAATCAACTCGTATTCTTAATATTCTTTTCAATATGCTCCCTTCGTATAGTATCACCTCTTCACACAGTACCCCCAGGGATATTATTTATTGACATTTTTGAAAAAGACCCAGAGTACTGTATGCAGCGCTGTACGGTACTCGTGATTAGGTCGAACGTCAAATAATCATAGATCAAATCAGGTATAAGTGTATATACAGCTTTATAATAATAGTCGCTATTATTATCAATATGTATATAGGGGAATCCTATCATTTTCCCAACAACCACTTCCCCGACAAGCTAGCCTCATTAGGTTAGGGTTAGTGTTAGTCCGGTCAACTTTTGTCGGGGCTTTGTTTTTCACAAAAGAGATCCGTATATACATACATACATTTAACTGATTTGATTTGATCTATGATTATTTAATGTCCGACTTAATCACAAGTATTTACCATATAGCGCTGCGTACAGTACCCCCTTGAAGAAGTATCCCCTTTAAATAGTACCAAAGTACTATTCAATTGTAAATTCTAGCGTTTTTGAACAATACCCTGGTAACTAATTAAGTAGCTGAATCAATGATCCTGTTATATAATCAACTCTATTATTAATATTCTCTTCAATATACCCCTCGTATAGTATCCCCCTCTTCACACAGTACTCCTGGGGATGTTATATATTTAATTGATCTTGACATTTTTGAAAAAGACCCGGGGTACTGTATGCAGCGCTGTACGGTAACTATCAAGTTTTTGCTTGATTTTGTCGAACACTATGTCCATAACCATTTTCTCGATTCGGTATCAGCAATTCTTCATGCATTCCATACTTCTTCATCGTATACGTGCACTAATAAGGTTTGTGGATCTTTGACTGTAATTTGCGTAAGCTCCCTTAAAGGTGTGCTGCCACTTTTATGAGGTACTAACACGGAATCAAGAATGGCTTGATAATTGAGAAATTTGATTATTAACATGAAATTCATCTTTTTCGCAAAATATTGAATCTTGCATTGTATAAACCTGGATTTGCTTGTCCGATCCTCATTGCACCATATTCTTTTTTTAGCCTTCCGATAATAGAAGTCATTTTGGTTGTGATATTAGTCATATCAAAGGTTCTACTGTTTGCCTCCTCTTTATCTTCTACATCGTCCTCTTTTTTAAACGCTACTTTATTCTTTTTATCACTTTTCCCACCAACTTTCTTTTTAGAAACCAACAACCGTCGTTGGCTGATAGAATTGGGAACAGAAGAGGGGAGTGATAAGGTAAAAACTAAAGGTGCAATGAGGTCGTGACTGGTGTGAAAGAGAATTCTTCTAAGGAACATTTAGATATTAGAAAACGCGTCTTAGTCTTAGTATGGTGAAAATTCGTTTTTATTGGTTAAATTAGGCTTCACGATTTTGATTGGCCAACTGCGACGATCAAAAAGAAAAATTAATTTCAGCCCAAATTATGTATGGTGCGGGCCAGAATTTTTTCTATCATAGCCGTTGGCCAATCAAAGTGACCGGGGTAAAATCGCCACCCAAAAAAGTTTCGAAAATCATGTGATATTATCAATTCATCATGATTAAGATCATGATGCGTAATAATATTTATAAAATATTAATTGATTTAGTAATTTATTTTCTTCGATTCTTCAAAATGAAAGCGATCGTTGCAATCTCGACAAACTAAGTGATTCTTTTAAAGACATAAAATTCAATAAACACAATATTCTACGTA